AAGCAAGTAGTTTTTGCTGTGGTATAGAAGTACTTAAAGGCACAATATGTAAGATTTTTTATTAAAATATCCAAAAACCATTAGAACAGTGTTATATATTTTGCGTAATATGATGAGTTTTGTGATCCGTTGCACAACTAATACATATATATATATAATTTTGTTTTTATATAATATAATTTAATTTTTTCATAAACACACTCTTACCAATACACTCCTGTGGCCTAGCTCTCATCGTGACCCCCTTCATTCCACAGGTCTATATTGAAGGGCAATGATTGGGAAACAGCATTGAAGAGTCAGTGAGTGTGTGTGTATGTGTGTGCGTGTGTTCAAGGGTGTTGCCGGGAATTCTCAGAGAGTGAAGCCTGTGAGAACCAAACCTCCCCACCATCCCACCTCCCATCATGATCTGCTCCCTCTCACTGCATGGAGACAGACAATGCTGGCAGGCAGTTTGGCCTCCTTCAAAACTCAAGGTCTTTTTGCTGTTTGGAGGCTGAAACGAAGCATATTTGTCCTTATTAGATGCCAAGTTTAGCTGACATTCTTTCCAGTAACAATATGGTTAAGAAATATCAGAAATTTGTATATTTTTTTGGACACTCTGGATCATATTGTGTCAAAACCTTTATTCCATAGTTGAATTTAAATCAACAAATGTACTATTGTACTAACCTCACAAAAAGTGACCATGGTAACCATAGTTTCAAGCACTCTAATTAATATTAGATCTCCTTCAAACCATGTAAGAAGCTTTCAAAATCTTTGTCATATTTTATTTATACACAGTTTTATTACGTAAACTAACTACAGCACTTTCTGCTAACTGGTTACGATGGTACATTTATGGGAAGGTGTTTGTTATATGCTAATCAGAGGGATAATTATAAATTTTGCTATTGTAGTAGCAATGCAAGCCATCAACAGAGCAGAGAGATCACAAGGCAGATCTCTCCTCCCATCACAACGAAAATAACTTAGTCATTATGACTAAATCAGGATGCACGACACCACCATCTCATCTGTAATTAATGAGCCCGCAAGATGAGTGCCGTAAACAACAGAGTTTGTAGCAACAAGAGACTCAAGAGGGGGGAGGAATCCATTACGGGTCCAAAACACAGTGTAGTGTTCATATATATCTCTCTGAATATAAGTGCTATAGCTGAGTGCTGTCTACAGCAGCATCATCTCTGCTGGTCCAGCTCTCTAATGAGACCAGATTCAATAAAAGACACTTAGAGGTCCACGGCCGGAAGAGACAATGCAAATAGAGTTTATTCTCAGCCTGGAAGTCTGGTTTTCTTGGAAAGCAGAGATGAAGCAATCTGGGCTGTGATGTTTATTTGATTTAGGGCCCCTCTTGCTCTCTTCACCCACTCCTAAACAGAATAAGAGAGAGACACATGTCTGTCTGTGAAGAAAAGCAGAGAAAAAGAGCTGATTGAGTTTGAAAAGAGAGCACTTTATCTCCTAATACACTTGTCATATTATGGATGAAATATATTTACAGCACTTTTATGATTTTGCAGTCTTTCTAACAACTCAGAAGCGCCATGTTTCTTAAAACTAAACAAAGTGTATGATCTTTATATATCTCACAATTTCACAGAACCAATTCCCCATTCAGTTATTTTAAAAGCATCTGGAATTCCACAAGGCCTGACATGCATTATCAAATTCAGTTCCCTTTCATGGGAAATTCCAACCTGCGTCCTCTAGGGGTCGCTATGGGGAACGCCTCGTCGTGACCCGTGTCTGAAGCATACATTGAAAAAACACCAACTCGTTGGCCGGCGACAGCCATGACGTCACTACCGGTGCGACTATAGTATAAATAGGCGC